TGCTGCTGTGAGTGGAGGGAGCCTCCACTGACACGGCTCTGCCGCTTTTCCCTGCAGGAGGGCATCCTGGCCACCTCCCCCGTGGACTTGAACTTGCCCCTGGACTAGCTCTTCCCCAGCAGCTGGAAGAGGTTGGCCTTCAGGCGCCGGGCCCCTTGCGTGCTTCTCGAGCCTTCCTGTTCTCAGGGCCGTGAGTGGTGGCTGCCCACCCTGCTTTTGCCAAAAAGAAATGGTTCACATTTTTTTCATATTAAAGACTTGTTCAAAGGTTGAATCACTTGTTCTTTCACTCGAGAACTCAAGTTCTAAGGAGGGGAGACGTGGTTCAGAGATCGCTCTGGTGTATACGTTGAGGTGAGAGCGATGCATTCATCCCAGAAATGTTTATCTGGAGCATTCAGGAGTGCCCGCCAGCTGCCATACAGCGTGATGGGGATGCCCGTGAGCACGACTCCAGCTGCCGCCTCCTCCCCGCCGCCTGGGCATCTATCCCAGCTGCCCCTGCGCGATGCCCTGGAGCCTTCCAGCTAGTTCTCCCTTCACGGGCTCCCGGTTCCTCCTCATCTCCCTGGAGACTTGGGGTTCGTCACCTTTTTGGGGTGTAGCCTCTTTCACAGAATTATGTTGGTAAACATATACGATGAGACGCACGGCCAATGACAGTCGGTCCTTGTTGTTTGCACACGCTATAGTTGTGAATTCGCCTAGGCACTAGCATTTATGTGTAATCCCCAAACTAGTACTCACGGCGGTGGGCACGAGTGTGGGCAGAGCTGCCAATGACGGGACTCACCCGCTGCACACCTCCTCGGCTAAGACTGAACACGCGACCCTCTGCCTCCTGGTTCAGCTCTCAGACTGTCGATGTGTGTGCCCGCCATCTGTTTAGTGGCCCATGACTTTTGGCATTTCTGTGTTTTCTTGTGGTGATTTTGCTGTTTAAAAGGAACCCTCCCGCCCTAGCCAGTTTGGCTCAGTGGGAAGAGCATCGGCCTGCAGACTAAAGGGTCCCAGGTCCCATTCTGGTCAGGGCACATGCCTGGGTTGCAGGCTCAATCCCCAGTGCGGGGCATGCGGGAGGCAGCCGATCAATGGTTCTCTCTCATCATTGATGTTTCTATCTCTCTCTCCCTCTCCCTTCCTCTCTGAAATCAATAAAAACAGATTAAAATAAAAGGGATCCTCCCTCCCCCGCCCAGAGCATAGCACAGAGTTGCTGTCCAGGGTCCCTCAGAGCAGGAGGGAGAGCCTGCCTAGGTGAGAGACTGCGTTCAGGCGTGAGCTACTGTGCTCTTGGCTGGGAAGCCAATGTGAGTGAATTACCAATAGGTATTAAGTAAGCGTCTAAACAAAGCACACTGCCCTAGCCGGTTTGGCTCAGTAGATACAGCGTCGACCAAAGGGTCCTGGGATCGATTCTGGTCAAGGGCACGTGCCCAGGTTGCGGGCTCAGTCCCCACTAGGGGGCGTGCAGGAGGCAGCCGATCAATGATTCTCATCATGGATGTTTCTATCTCCTCACCCTTCCTCTCCGAAATCAATAAAAATATGTTTTAAAAAAATAAAAAAACAATAAAGGACTCCCATCTGATTAAGTCAAGTCCACCCTGGAAGATGTCCCTTTTGATTAATTTAAAGTTAACTGGTTTAGGGCCCTAATGACATCTGCAAGATCGATTCACCTTTGTCGTATAAGATAATCAGGAGAGGCATTCATCTCCTTTGTCCTATAACCCAACCTGGTCCCCGGTACATAACACGGGGGGCAGAGATCTTGGGGGGTCCCCTTGGAGTTCTGCCCATCACAGCATATCTGCAACCACTGCCACGTGGCATGCAAGCCTCCGTGGCTTATGTGGGGGACCAGGCCACAGGAGCTAATCCTGGGGTCTTTGATGTGTTGCCTAAATTCTTAATTGAAGGCATGGCCAAGTTCCCGTTTGCTGAGGGATGAAGTTTCTATCCTCCCAGCCCCTGGAGGCCTGCAAGCTAAGTTGGGCACTAGATGCCTGTGTGCTTCTCCTCACCCCGCCTCTCACCACACCCACCCCCATGGTCGCACCCATTCCCGGGCTGTGACGCAGCGCAGCACTGGCTGACAGAACTAAGTGAGCCTTCCATGTGATGGAGGGCACGCCCCGAGCCCTGGGCCACGGGCCCTCACTGGGATCCAACCGATGACAGTTTGGTGCATGGGCCGATGTTCAACCACAAACCACACTGACCAGGCGGTCTATTAATTTTACCAATTTTTATTAACCCTGTTTATCCAAAATACAGAATCATTTCAACATAGTAGTCAACATAAAAATAGTAGTGAGATATTACAGATTCTTTTTTTATTTTATTTTATTTTTTTAAATATATTTTATTGATTTTTTACAGAGAAGAAGGGAGAGAGAGAGATAGAAACATCAATGATGAGAGAGAATAATTGATAAGCTGACTCCTGCATGCCCC